GCTGACAAACACAAAGAGCACTACCACTCCATGGCAAGAGAAATAAAACATTTTATGTTGTCCTTGTGATGATGATACAAGGATTCATGTTTGCTTGTTGCGTGTCATTGCTTGCATCGGCTCCAGTGTATTGACCAGGTACTATATAGTGTTGTTGCAAAAGCCGGTGTAATTGGTATCATCTTGGTATCGATATATTAGATTTTGTAAAAAAAAATTGTATCTAGGTACATCAACAGCTCGTACACAAATTCACACACCCAATAAGTTTTGCCCTAGTAGCTTGTCAGGTTGAGCATGTATCATGCTGCTTTTTATTAGGATACATCCTTGAATATTATTACATTTGGCATCTGTTGTTGTAACACTTTGTGAATGTGTCGGTTCTTTTCTGCTAATTACATGCTCAACATTATTTTGAAACAAGGCTATATGGTGGTGTTCTATCATATTGATTTCTTAGTGAGTGTACACGATGCTATCTTAGCAATGACACACAATATACATGGTGATGGAATAGAGAGAAACGGGAAAAAAGATAAATTGTGTTCTCTTACCGAAGAGCTAATATCTTAGTTAAAGAAAAAGAGACATTCTACCCATTGTACGAGATGTCTTCTCTCTATTTTTTTTAATTAGTTTTAATCACCTGATAATTTCAGGATCAGGCAAACATTTAGCGCTAGAGATAACCCATTGTATTACCATGTCGTTTGTGGGAATATAACATGTTTTTTATCCCTAGATAACGTGAAATATATGTGAGGAGGCCGCCTTTATCAACTAGTGTACATGCCGCTGGCTAGTGCTCAACTTTGAAACCTAAAATGTGTGGAAGAAGATAACCATCTTTCCTTAATGTGCGCTTTCATTAAACCCACTTTGATCGATGGAGTGGGTTAGGTTTCAAAATGTCAAACTTGCAATACTCCTATATTGTATTTTATGTAATTTATAGTTTTCATTATCTCTATTTATAGTATTACTACCGGCTTAAGTAAGTTTGTACTTGGAGGACCACCGTACCTTACTCCCTCTTTGCATTTAGTCAACTCGGTGGCCGGCCAAAAGGAAAAAAAAACTCGGTAGCCGGCCGCCTGGATGTACGGCAAATCGCCGGTCCACCTCAGCATGCTCAAGGCAAAAATTGCGTGTACAACCTGTGCCTGTCCGTGGCCATATTGTTTTCCCCCAAGGAAACGGGAGCTGCGAGGAGGCGTGGAGCGGGCGGGCGCGTGGCAGTACGGTCCCGGCACGAGCCGGCGCGTAGCCCGGCTGCGGCAGACCACGCGACCCCGGGCCCGCCAGCCAGTCACGCCCTACGCCCCTACTACCAGACAAGTAGTGGACCCGCTGTGATCTGTGATTGCGACCGATCCAGTAAACTGTGGACGAGTCTTGCCTGCTCGCTTCCCATACTCCCATTCATGCTTCTGCATACGTGGGTTGATTTGATTGGAAAAAAATAAGGTCCGGCCCCACCCCTTAAAAATCAGGGGGGGAAATGATTAGATTAGAAAAGAGAAAGGAAAAAGAATAGCCATAGGATGAAGTGGGAGCATGGATGGGAGCATGCAGAGGGAGCAGGTCAGTTGTTCCAACAACCGCTAGCCCTAGCGAGACTGCGACCCGTCGGAGATGACCGAACAGAGCATACGGTTTTGTGCACTTCCTTTTTGTTTTCGATTCGAGTTAATACTCCTCGGTTTCTTTTTAGTCCGCATATACTCCCTCCATTTCACAACGTAGTGCTTCCTCTATCCCCGTGTTTTAATTTTAACCGTAAATTTAACTACCAAGACCGATTGCGACGGAAGCAAAAATTATATCAGTGAATTCATATTTGAAAGAAGTTTTCAATTATATAATTTTTTCTCCCGCCGCAGTTGGCCTCGTTGGTTAAATTTATGGTCAAAGTTGGACCTCGGGAAGCGCGGGCGCACTATATTTTGGAACGGAGGGAGTAAGATTTAGGGCCTGTTTGGGACTGCTCCACTTCACAAAAACCAGTTTCGCTTCACTAAATTCACTTTGGAGCAGTTCCATCTAGAAGTTGTAGTACTACGAAAGAGAATGTTTGGCTGCCATCTAGTTTCAGCTTCAAGAATAAGAAATTTGGTGGAAAGGATCTATTTGATTGGTTGAGGGGAAAGAAATGAAGGGGTATCCACTTACTGGTGGCAGTGGTGGGTAATTTCCACCCAACTTCAGCTTCTAGAGTTTTTTGGAGCACCCCCTGAAGAGCCTCATAAAAAACTGGGAGTTGTACCCTAGATTCTAGTTTTTTTTACGGAGCGGCATATCGTGGAGCTATCCGGTTTGGTTTGTGTTTTCTGGAGCGGAGCTGAATTTTAAGGAGCATAGTAGTTCCAAACAGGCTCTTAGTCAAAGTCAAGCTTTATAGAGTTTGACTAACTTTATATTAAAAAATATAAACATTCATAATATGAAATCAATATTGTCAGATGCACCATGAAACGTATTTTCATATTATATAGTTCTAGTATTGTAGATGTTCATATATTTTTATATAAATTTAATCAAACTTTGTGTAATTTGATTTTGACCAAATTTTATATGCGAAGTAAAAAGAAACGGAAGGAGTAATATACAGTCCATCCACTTCAGGACTCTAGTCTAGCGATGCATTTGTTTTTTTTATCTTCGACCTCCCTTCATTATGAATTATAAGATGTTTTGATTTTTTTTGTACGTATCCCCCGCAAAAAAAGATGTATACATACATATTTTAGTATAGTCACTCTTCGTTTTACCTAACCCAGATGCATCCATCGTTGATACCTGCGAGGCACCATTGTTGTGCACACATGCACACACATTCAATGCAGGTTATCCCACGATAATCAATTGTTGCAAGTTATATACTTTCTCTGTCACGGTTTAGAAGGGGAAATTCTCTGGGACCTAGGTAGTTATCTATTGGTTGTGAGATGGATTAAAAAATAGCATTCACACTACGCATGCATATAAAAATAGTATATGGAGTACTAATTAGCTACTAGAAATAAATGCAATGCGCCCTAAACCTTGTTTATTATGGAAACACACACAAATTTAACTGTGCCTTCTAAACCGTGGCGGAGGGAGTATTTGTTTATTTAATTGCAACAAATGCTTGTAACATAGTCGAATTATAAAATGATGCAATCATGCCATCCTCACACTTCGATCTACCGTAGTCATGCGTATCTGCTAACGAAAGAATGGTTATGTGCTTTGTTTGATGCAGAGGCAAGGAGTAGTCCTCCTTTTTCGGGGGAAAAAAATCTGCTAACGAAAGAGAGTGGAACAAAGGAAACAATCGGATATTGTTAACATGTCCTCAGGCCCAGCAGACAAGTGGCATATGGAGTGCGAAATCGCGACTAGAATGTTTATTTATTATTAATTGTGGCACGTCAAGTTGTGGACATGCGATTATTTCCTATTGAATTGGAGCCACGGGTTCAGGTGGACTCCACATGAATGAAGTAAAGCATAGCCACATATTAGATCTGGACATCTGGTGACCATTTTATACCAGTTGACATAATTGCACCCTTGCATGAGAACCATACCATACGTTCCATGGTTGTACGTAATTAAGGGGTGTGATTTTGGTTTTCTTCTAAGTATGGCGGGCTAGTTGCTTACTCCATACTGTAATTGAGAGAGTTCTACAGTGTTCTGTTTCTGAATCGAGAGATACATAGAGAGTTCAGTGCGCAACACATGCGTGCCGCTGATCCGTGCGAACGACTGAATTAAACTTCATGTGCGTGGTGCATGATTTCACCATCTGTACAAAGCCAGTCAGTAGTTCGAACTAAAGGAGTCCTGACACGAAGCGCTCTCAAGAGGCATGTGAGAGGGCAGAGGTGGACGAAGTTGATCAAGACATTCGTCGGATTTCTTTCAGTAGGCAGCAAGCATTTCACTTGAGCTGACAGTTATGGCAGCCTCTCCCGTCTTCGTGAGACGAACACCACCATCACTGACTGATTCACAACCATTCCAGTACCTACCTCCATGGCACTTCGCATGATAAGGGCTTCTTTGATTCAAAAATTTTTTATAAAATTTCTGGAGAATTGAAATCCTTAGGATTTTTTCCTATGTTGGTCCTTTGATTCATATGATTAGGTCCCATAGGAATTTTTTCTATGGAATCTTCTATACTACGAATCAAAGAGGCCCTAAGATTGCGAACCACCCTAATTGCCCCCAATTAACTGGGCTGTGTGTTCTCTCTCTTAGCTACTCCGTTCTAGTCATGCAGAGGATTCTGGCTTAAAATAACATCATCTGAAGGCAGGATAACAGGAGATCACGTCACAAGATTATCAACAGATGTTTGTCTGCCAGGGTATATTTCAGCGTTCAGATTAGGTATGTCGGCCTCTTCAATCTTGGCATCAGCAATATGTGAGTGAATCTCAACTCTTCCCTTACTTTGCTTTTTTAATCCCATCCTAGTTCTCTGGATGTACAGAGGTTCAAGATAACTTTCAGTTCTGATCTGGACGCTTCAGGGAAATCATAGTAAGAACAGAAGAATAGCTAAGCCATCATGCAAGTGGCCCACAAGGGCTCAGGGAGGTAAAATAAACCGGGACAAACTTATAATTTGCTGTAAAAGCAGCAACAGCAGCATGTCATAATCGTACACAACATTTGAAACAGGATTTTCAATACCTTCCCTGTCTCGCTAAGCAGGATGTTCTATAACCTGCGCGGCGTGGGCCTGAAGTACCCAACAAGAGATCTGGACAGGTACTTAAAATAGGAATATCTAGCTACATAACCTGCACAAGGCATCAGATAGAAAACTGCAAACCAGGAAATTTGTGGCCTAGATCTTGTGGCTTTCGCCCAGCTATTCTGCCTGCTAACAGAAAGATGAATACATTCAACTAGGTCATCAAGAAGGCATAAAGATTTTTTTCCCATTTACATGGAGGGTTTGCTTTGCTCCGAGAATTTAAACGATCTTCAGAAATTCACATGTTCGCTTTCCTCTCCCATCGTTCTTTAACATCAAGCCTGAAAATATGACATATGGGTGATAAGAGTGAGAGCCAATCGTTTCATTTCACACAAAAAGTGGTGGCAAGCTGGCACGTTAGCATTTGCGAGAGGTGGCCATAAGAAATGTCACACCTTGCTGGCTTACCACAGCTCCATTAGAACCATGGTAAAAGAAAGAGAAAAACTCGTCCTACGAATCAGATTTCCTTAGTTTTCTCACAAGAGTTTATCTCATGTCCATCAGATTAAGTTGACCATAAGAAATCTCATAATAACCTATAGATAGTCTATTAGTAATTTGCAGTTTGAATCATTATACTTTGTTCATAGCAAGTCAAATGGTGTCTTCTTTGTCAGATTCAGTCATACAATGTATATGAACTTCTTGAATGATGAAAGGTGAAATTTAAGGGAATTCAGTGTTAATGAAGTTTTCCGATGAAAAGATGAACATGAACTGCCTGAATAGCAACTAAGTAGAGAGTAGCATGAGAGATGAGACTGCATGAGATAGTGGAAAACATAAGCTGCCACGTAGTATGATACAGTACAGTGATGAAATAGTACCCCCAATGCAACTTCCTTTTGTTCCTCAAGGGCAGGGACGGTGCAAGATTCTGCAAATATGTGGGAATAAATCATCAAGCTATTTTTATGACAATGATATTTGTGAATTCCGTTAATTAATTAATGGCCTTGAAGAAACGATGATATGGCATCAAATCAATGATCTTGAATATATGAAGTCTAATAAATGTCTTAAAGATGTAAATGTATCTTGTATTACAACCGAACAGCAACAAAGTTAACTCAGTCTGGTATCAACGTAGACAAAGGGACACATCAACTTTTGATCCTATCGAGTCAATGTACATTTAACAGACAAAGACACAAAAGGTATTATAATTGCAATTATATTGCATTTTTAACCTATTTGGTAAACACTATGTAAGAAATAGACAGATGCCAACACCAAACAGGCACTTCTAGATAAAACCAATAAGAATCTAAATCTTTAAATTTTAGTTCATTTCGTGGCAAGAACACTTTCTTCATCAGCCCATGACACCTACTCTGAACTAAAACCAGAACCCTTATTTTGGAACGAAGGGAGTATTAACAAAAATAAGAAAACAACATATATTTTGCTGCAACAACTGCAGAAATCGAGGTATCGCAGTTTGTTCCATTACCTGAGAAAATTTCAAGACCTAAAGACCAATTGAAATACGTTACCGGGACTTGAGAAATAAAAATTCTGCAGTAAATAGCTTTATTTCTACAGATAACCCTTTTCCTGCAACTAATTTGCTGTGCTACTATTAAAGGCCCAAGCAAAAGCAACAATCTTCACGAATTTAGATGAAAATAAGATAACCAAGCATTTTTATAAGTATAACCAGACATACCGCTTGGGCTCCTGTAGTTGATGTTGTATGCTGTACATCTATTGCGGCACTATCAATTGATTTATCCTTATTATTAAATTTAGAATCATTGGCTACATTTGTATTCTCCCCGGTTCTTCCTACAAATTTCAAATACAATGAACAAATAGCTTAAATATCTCCTGCAAAAAAGAAAAGAAAAGAAACTGAACACAAGGTAATCACAGATACATAAAGAGAGATACCTTTAGGTTTTCCTTTGGATTTTGTTTTTTCCTTTATTTGTAGCCGTTTCTTGTGCAATTCCTGTAACATGAAAGATCAAACAATTTAGTTGGTATTTCTCGAAATAAAAACAAAACTAAAGAGTTGGTAACTTCAGAAAAAAGGATAGAAGCACTCTGAACAAACGTTTGGAAATTTGCCGTTTAATTCAGGGTTGAGATTCTTAAGGATGGGAAATTATGCTTTTCAACTGGAACTTCTCAAATGAAATTGTCGAGACCAGCATCTCATTAACAATCTATGTAATATGTATGGCACAAGACAAAAAAATGACCCAAACAAAAACATCACATCCAGTTTAGCACAATATCTTTTCTATAATCCAATCCAAACTCTAGCAACAATAGGTTTCAAATAGGCATTTCACAGAAGTGCTAATAGTATTATATTTCTCTCTCTTTGTTTGCCGTGTTTTCTCATTTGTTACACTCATCAATGTGCAACAGTGCAAGTACAGTATGCAGGATTCCTAACTAAAGCTAATATTGTGTCCTCTATGCTTTGACCTTGAATTTTGCAAGTTTTTTTTCTTTAACTGCAACAAGTGCTAAACACAAAAACTGCACTCTTAACAATATCTGGGAGATTTATTGTCTTCAAATTTTGATGCCGAGCGGTCAATGACTCAGCTAAAAATCTCTGGAAAACAACTGGATTTTGGATGCCTGCTCTGTTCCTCTATGGGAACACTTCCGTGTCCGGTCATGTGGTCAAAAAGGCGAGCACTTCAACTATTAGAATTCAGAAGCTGAAGATATGTCTATGCAGCAATGTTTCTACGCTTCATAAGACCAGTTTTATATGCTGGAAACAAATGAAACTATTCCTAACAATTTTCTATAAAAAGATCTGGATAAATTGGTTCATGGCAACGATGAGGGCATCATAAGAAGAAAACACAACATGTCACCCTTAGACAAAGGTGCTACAGCCATTCTGTATGACTATGACATTGACATTAAAGCCTACAGCTTGAACATTTTCCTCGAGTAATTGAGGAGCAGGGAGGGAGGGAGGGACCAATTTTGCCCTGCCCTAGTGTGCCCTTCCAAAGTACAGTACTAATATGCTTCCTATAACGGTTAGAAAGAACCATCCACCTGCGGGGGATCATGAACCCCACAAGATTCGCACTGAACATTCGAGAAATCTACTGTAAGTAAGAGAAGAAAACCTTAAACTTGTCGAGCTGATCTTGGGACAGCTTGGAGGGCTTGAATTCCGGATCGAGCAGCCTACTGGATGCGAGCGCATCCTCCTTTCCCTTCGCCTCGTTGCCTTCGTCAGCATCTCCTCCGCCTCCGCACCCTATGAAAAAAGGCTTGAATATAATGAGGGCGCAGAAGAATTGTATGACAGGGAGAGGAAGGACTTTGCAGAAGCCAGTGAACCGATGCCAAGATTGCTCGTGTCTACTCTCAACCCAGGAATACAACAAGGTTTTTTGCTACATGGACTTGCTACAGTGTCAGTAATTTGAGAGCAGTGACTTCCATTAGTACCAGGAACAGATTCTGCATCATTTCCTCGCTTGCCTGGCCTAGAACCATTTTCATTTTCCAGATGAAGAGCAACATCTGCACTGATACGTGAAGCACATGGGCAGAATGATTGACACTTTTTCAGCTCTTCTACATCATCCAACAGGCATCTTGCTGCCCCTGATGTTAAGCATATATATTCTCCAGAATTGGATTTATCCTCTGAGCGAGCCTTGCATGCCCAACCAGAGAAAAGAGTGACCAATGCGGTGTCAGATGATGGTGCTGTTTCACATGAATCTTTCAGCAAACATTGAATTCCCAATGAAAACTTCAAAGCTAAGTATAATGTATAAAGAAAATAACTTAAAATAATCAGAGTAAAGAGATGACCTGCCAAGCGCATATTCTGAAGAAAAGAAGATGCCTCCTCATCGCTCAGTTTTGACACCAACCATGGTAGAACACGTTCCAATAGCTTCAATGGCATGACACAAAGACTTCTATATAGAAGTTCCCTTTGCTTCTCAGGAGAGAAAAGAACCCTAGCTTGGGGAAGCACCTAGGTAAATTAAACCAAAGATGACATTCTGACAGACAAAGCAATAATTCCAGTGGCACAGAAACATCACTACGAAGTACTAACCTTGGTTTCTTCGTTACAGAAGTGTTTCTCAATTGCCTCCATTATCTGATCAGCATGTGAACACAATTCAGAGTAAAACTCTGCTGCAGTTGATTTTGCTCCTGCCATTTGGATTTGCTGAATTAAGCATCTAAAATTGTTAAATCGACGCTCTTCTTCAGCATGCTCCAGCACGAAGGACAGCTCGCTATTGACTGCAGGAAATACAACCTGATCCTCGGCGATACTGTAGATAATAATAAAAAATGAAACAGGTGAAATTAAAGAAGGTACATAGTCTACTTTCAGAACGTTCTGTTTTACCGGTGAAAAGTGTCAAAAACGAACCAGGAGAAAACAAGTTCTAGTACACAACAAGGTGTGACTAGCATGACACCAATACATGCACAGAAAAATATACCTTTATGTACAACAAAACAATAATACATATGTGCAGAACTATTCTCAGTTAAACAGTTCCTAAATTTAGGAGAATTAGCACGTTTGTGATACTGCTTGCTCAAGTGTATGTAATCACCTGTACCATACTAGGATAAAAAAAAATCAAACTCGTGTGTAGCAAAAGTGCAAAAGCCACCAGTGCACCACGATGTCAAAAATAGTGCATAAGCCACATAACTACCCAAGCAGCAGGCAGGGTATGTTAAGCAAGGCAAACAGTGTAACACTACAAATGCTGAATGGGAGTGCCAATTATATTATTAATAACAAACAAATGGTATACTCAATGTCAACTTACATAGAAAAGCAGCATTAAAAAGGAGTGTATATACATAGTTGCACAATAAAATCTTAAATTAAAGTGTGAATAATTGAAGATTAAAACTAAATACCTGTGGAAGATGCACACATCTGCAATAAACTGAAGTCTCGCATTGAAGGCTGATATATCAGCAAAATCTCCAGACTGCTGCATCCTTCTTGTCTCCTCTGCTATATCATTTAATTCTTTACGGATAGCATTATGCCAATATAAAATCTCATCTATGGGGTGCCTGTCAGCCTGACAATCATTAGATTCTGTATACTTTATATGCCCAACTTTAGACTGTTCAAGTGGATAAATAAGTTTCTCCGCTTGATTAACAAAGGAAGCATCCTTGCAACAATGACTTCTTTCCAAATTATCACTGACAACACTCTGTGCCACTTCTCTTGTTGCTTTCCCTTCGATCCAAGTGAATACAACCTTCACAAATTTTAAAACTCAAATTTAACAGGACAACAAGCAAGTTATTGCCAGAAACAGTAAAGAGGCGCAATTGTGAGACCTGTTTAAGAAGTTTCTCTTCAGGAACTATTTTACATAAACAGTTACGAATATCCTGATGCTCGTCAGATGAAACAGAAGCTGAGAGCCACGGAAGGAACTCTGCCAGCATATTTACAGGAATGTTGCATAAGAACTGCCATACTAAATCTGACTGCTCTTCGTATGAAAATTTCTTGGTAAGCAATGGGAAGACCTAGAAAATCAGATGATCAGCCACCAATAGGTATGAAATACGATCAGTCACCAACACCAAATATCTTGAGTAATCACATCATCTAGATATGATTTTAGGATGCAGACACCACAAAAGATACATGACCATGCAAAGAGCATAATCCAAAGAAAAAAATTGCCACATTTTCTGAACTCCCAAAGATCTAGTTCATGCAAGTTAATATTGCAACCCAGCTGTCCCACTTGTTTATCTGGATTATATTACTCAAACAAACAATTAGTCAAAGCTTCTGATCGATGTTGGGCAGCCTCTTTAGAGTGCAACAGCAAGGGATACAAGAACAGACACACAATTTTATATTTACTAAATGGAGGCTCCCTTCAAGCCACCACACATTGCCCAACATCATCAGAATTAGAGTAAATTGCACTTCACACCAGGTAGATTGCCACTTGTGTCACCTTGCAGCAGGCCCCTGCATAATAATATTACACTTTGCACTAGGTTTCATATGACATTTTTGGAAATATCAGGGGGAAAAAGCATATGTTTGTGCTGTGGGACACACATGGATTTTGGCTTTAAAGTTAGATGTATATGCACCTAAAAAACTGAGACAGAAGAGAGAGATGGGTAAATAATTGTATATATGTACCCTACAGTGCAGATCAAAATTCAAAATAAAGTGAAAATCCCAATTTAGAGATAGATGTATATACAAGATACTCCTAGTTTCATCACGAAAAGAACAAGGGCTCCTAATTAAGAATAATTCCAAAAATATCAAACATTAAAGCATACATGTGATCATGAAAGACAAAATGAGTAATTGATGCCAATCATAACGGTAGGATCAAATTTAAAATGTAATTGAATTTACAACTGCCATTTATTTCAGGAAGTAATATAATAAAATCAAAATCATTATGTATTACTCCCTCCTCTCATAATATAAGACGTTTTTGCAAGCTATGTTAGCTTGCAAAAACCCGTCTTAAATTGTGGGAGGGGGGAGTATGAAAGATTTACTAGTCAGAGGCTTGCCATTAATTTACAACAGCCGGATTTCATATCACAAGATGAGGAATATTCACTTGACGAATTAAGAGTTGTAGTAGAAAAAAGGCAATCAGAGCATGGCAAAGGGATATGTGTAAAAGTGTAATCAGATAGAAAAATGCATCAAATATCCTTAGAGAATCCCCTTTACGTTAAGATGTATAAAGTATTGTTTATATGCAGCCCGTGTAGGTGCACAGGTTGATGTAGCTTATTTAAATGGGATCCACATATAAGGTAAACACTTCTGATCAGAACATGAAGTCCGGGATTTCAAAAATGCAGAATAAGAGTAATACAGTCCAAGATGCCTGCATGACACCGAGAGCTGTGTGACCCTTTAATCAGAATACAGAAACTGGCATACGAACCCTTGGTGATAACTTGAGAAAACAATGACGGTAGAGTAGCAACTAGAAGACCACATATGTCCCACTACCATCACTTCTCTGTTTGCACCTATCCTTACTGACATCAAGGTAATAACAGGAAAGTATATCATAGAATCACTCAAAATACTTAAAAGTAAAAGCTTGCCAGCTTGATTTGCCATCCTATAACCGTTAGCACCGTCATAAAGGAGATCGTGAGCATTCAAATGTTGTAAAAAGGGGCAAGAAAGTTGGACAGCCTAGTAATAAGATGATTTTGCTAAGGACTTCTCGACACGATTACAACAAATGAGCACCTTCATAAAATGCCTAATAAGAGCACAAACAGGCATTAAGAACAACTTTTGAATGGTGACACTGTCATAGAATGCACTTGCCCTAGAACAAAATTGGTTCAAACATAAGATACTGAGCAGCATACTGTTTTCCTTATCTAGTTGGATATGAACTGCTTAATATGATAAGAGGCCGTTTAAAAAGGAAATATGGCACTGACCTGTTCTTCTTCCTTGGACATATGCTGGGTGAGGCACGTTTGTATGGCTCCTGTGCAGGATGCAAGTTCCCTCCGAAGAGCATCGTCATTTTGAATATCGAGTTGTAATAAAGCAAGAAGCTGGGTAAAGAGGTCATTTTCGCCTTTATGCTCTAGAGAATACGTTCCAGCGACATTCTTGACTCGTATATCAAGTGCTGGAAAGATAACCTGCAATTGTCAAACCAAAAAGTATGAGCATGTTTTTAGTACAAAAAATATGATATGATGAACTCATAACTAAACTGCACAATATTTCTAAAAAGCAAAGCATAAACAATAAAGCATTAGAAAGATAGATTGCCAAAACAGATTTGAACAAGCAACTATGACAGCTCTTCCCATGAAGAAAATGGTCAAGGTAAAAGAAGTTTACAACAGCACTAACATTTTTGTGCTTCAAAACAGAACTTCTATTTTTGCGGCATTCGAGGGAAAATAGGACATCAAGGTGCATTTACTTGTCAGTTAGACTCTCTGCCACTAAAGAATACTGATGATCTATTATCATTCTGCAGGGTAACAAGATTTAAGCAAAAAAGTCTAGGAAGGACCTGACCTCCATTAGCCCCTGACTCTAACAGGTTGAAACTAAGAAAGCTCTATCCGACTCGATCAGTAAAAGTTCCGTTGTGCTCTAATGAAAGTGAGAAAACATCACCATGGAAGCAAGAAAGAGAAGGCCTCACATGATGATGTCAATATCAAAATTACCATTGTGGTTTCAATTGAACGGAGGCTTTTGTATCATGGCTTATACAATTTGGGCATCATCTCCTTATGTCAACATCAGAAGCCAGAAGGGCAAAAAGTGCGACAAATTATTCATGTGAGCATAGGCTGATTCAGCCAAACAACCTTATACTGTCCACTGCTGCATCAAAAGCTACCCGAAGAAGATTCAACATCATGGTATGGAGTCCACCGGATTCAGATCCTAACAGTGGTCGAACGATTCAATCCCAACCCCGCCCAGCTCCTTCAGACCGAAGGGAACAATTCCCCAACCCTAAACCCAAAACAGCACCAATATTCGTACGCGCCCACGCATCTCCATAGCCCATACCCAAATTCACACCAGCTACAGGGGGGTAAAACGGAGGAAAACGAAATGCCTCAAACAAAACGGAGCTCTGCAGAGGGGCAGCGGCCGTACCGCGTCCTCGGCGTCGCAGTGGTGCTTGTAGATGTTGACGAAGAAGCGGCAGCGCTCGGCCAGTGCCCCCACGTCGCCGGCGCGCTCCGTGGCGAGGCGCACGGCGGCGCCGTGCAGGCTCTCGAGCTCAGCGCGGATCGCCTTGTGGAAGTAGAGGAATATCAGCATCGGCGCCTCGGCCGCCGACCCCGCGGCCGCC